AAAAGGAAACATAGGCCGCTATTCAGAATCGGGCTGTACTTCCGGAAACCGCCATGCTCTGAAATGGCGGAAATTTTGGAAATAAGTTCTTTTTCTATAAAAAACATGATTGCGAAAAAGAATTTGGCGACTCGAAAAAAAAATTTTTACCATGTGAGTGTCACTACCTGTGTTACCGACGTAGTCACTACCGTGGGAATACAATTATATTTATGTCTTAACTTATTTTACAATTATACTTTTTTATTATACATTCTATTGTTTTTACAAGAATTCTAAGTTCGATCTATGAATTTCCATAGATTTTTTAAGAGCGAAGTACAAGCCCGCGGTTACGACTGCGTGGCTAACAGGGAATGACTCTGAAATGGTACAAATTTTTGTTCGGGTCGCCAAAAATCCTACTCGAAATCATGATTTGTATCAAAAAAGAATCTAGTCCCTGTTTTGTACAGGAAACGACTCTGAATCTAAATACCGGCTACCATTGAATTCACTGGATAACGTTGTGGTACTAAAATCTCGTCGAGCGATGGCAGCAAGAGCCTGAATCCGAAAAATCAATACGTTCCTCCCGAAATAAATACTGCACTCATCATCCAGCTTTTTCTTCGTAACAATACAGACAATAATTGTTACATTACGAATTACGTAAGTCTATCATTTTCATAATTTTTTCGTGCACGAATATTTTAAATCGGAGACAGTTTGGCGCCACGATTAAGTAGATGCGTCGCCGTTATGTGGGGCTACGTTCGCACCGTGCCGGACATGCTGCACCCGAATTCGTACCGCCATATTGTCTCTCGCGAACAAGGAAAAACATTGTGACTACGTGGTGCAGTTTGCTGCGAGTTCCAAGTAAAGTTAATATTCGTTGTGTCCAGAACCAGATCAGGATTGTTCCCTGAACACGTGCAAACAATTGAGAAGAGATCGGGCGCCGATCGACGAGTAACTACACAGGTACGTCGGTGATCTCCCGCAGACCTCGTGTTCGGCTGCCTCGCGTAGCGGCTTTCGTTTGTTATCTTTCATTTATCGTCACACGAAGCTCATACGATTCGCAAATCGCCTTAGCCCGTCGTTCTAAGCTCGCGTTCATGTAGGGAGATTCAACTGTTCGTCGTAAAAGAGACTTACGACCAGCGATTTTTCCGCTGAGGCAGCAGTCGTTAGATTTTCGAAGCACGACTTATGCTTCGTCGAAATTCGGTTGACCGCGATATACGGGCACTTCGTGCGAGAGCCGAGTCCGAGCGACACGTGTGACACGTGCCCGGTTCCGTGAACACCGGTGTTATCTCGTACGTTCTCAGCGAACGCTCGCCGTACACCGATCGTTTTCGTAATCGGGCGAAACATCGCGACACATGCTCCTCCTAAATTTCCGTCATACAACATCTGGAAATAGAGCACCCAGCATCCATTGACCCTTTTCGATCCGCGACTCCGCGTATATGTCGCCCCGATTGAGTTTCACGTACGACGATTTAAATGGTTAGGTACGTCGTACTTGTGCACGCGGAATTAATAAATTACACCGGATGCTCCTAACCGCCGTGAAGAAAGTAAAATGGTTAAGTACTCGGCATGGATACTTATTTTTCGCTCTTCGTTATCTCGTCTAGTTCGTAACGGCAATCGATAAGGCGTTTCGAAGACGACACGTTTACTACGTATAGCCGGTGGACACGTGAAGTAGTTCACGCGACGGGATGTCGGCTACCGTGTTTCTCGCCTCCATGTGTGTACGGACATTTAAAGGGTCAACATACTGGCCGAGTCGCTTTTAGTTACATGCTATTTCTAAGATACCAACCTACATCCCGTTCGCTTTTCCACCGCCTCGCTTTCTAAGGCAGTTGGCCCTGAATATGACATTGGTTATTTCCGTGTACCATCGAATCATCGTTTAAACGGCCGGGTAATCACGTGGCACACCTGTACAGTTTGGAACAATGTTTCTTGACCCGTTTCTGATTATATTAGTCTCTTCCATGAAGACGAGATCCGAAAGTAGTAATAAATTTATGATTCGTTTTCTGATTGCTCGGTCTAGCGCTTATATGATCGTTATTATAGTATAGAGAAATACTGGAACATAAGGGAAATGTCGATTAATATGAATGAATAACGTTTATTATTCTATTTAGATTAGGAACCCAATTCTAAAGTAATCAAACGTACATAAATGAATTCATTAACTAGTTATTAAGATAGTTCTACTATATTAGTCAAGATAAGGTTACAAAAAAGACAGCACTAAATACAAGACTTTTTCTAGAAAGAATAAATATTTTCGAAATATTATTATAACTAACTTTAATAATATTGCAAAACAAACTTCTTATAGAATTTAAAAACGTTTTTTTGACCGGCACATGGTAAGTTTAATGTTAATCAAGCATTGAAAAAATATATTTATTACTATTTTCATGTCTTGTCCCATGAATAAAGATCTACGATCATTGTCCGAAAAATGAAATTTCTTATTCTCGTACAAGTTCCCATGAAACCGATTATGTCATTTGCAAATTATCGAAATCCGCGCGAACGAACTGACGCAAGCCGGTTCGAGCGCGTGTATTGGTAAATAAATTGTCTTCAATCGAGGCGTAGTTTGCCGCTAATTAATATTCAATGGATATTCATCTTTCCCTTGGAAACTATTAATAACAGTTTCTCGTTGCTTCCCGCTATCGTTTAATGAAACCCTTGATACTATGTTGGAAATCTTCGATAACTCTCGTTGTTTAAACAACTTCAAGTGTTATTAGTGATACTAGCTTTTAAAACAACTACAAGGTCATGGTATATGTAGTAGACGATCCGCAAAGGCTCTCTTCGATTTACGATATCGGCAGACGCTATTATCAATGCCAAAATGTAAATAGACTATAAATTGTAAATACGAGACGCTTAATCTACAACGATAAGGAACAAATATGTAGTGTAATTTTCTGCTACACTTATGTTACGGATAATCGACATTTCATGTGCGAATTTATTTTATGATCCACCGAGCACGATAATAATTTTATTTGCTACACGATTTCATAACAACAGTAACTCATTGGGATAGAATACAATGGCGCATTTACAGAGGAATGGAGTAAAACTTAATAGACATAATAACTGTGTATGAAGAGCTATGAAATTCTGTTGTGTAATTACAAGATAAAATAAGGAGCAAAACTGATCTAACGTCTTTTAGGACTGAATAACTTTTTCGAACTCTAGCGAAACGATCTAAATATTTTTTAATATTTAAATGTATTAGTTTACTAAATGATGTCTAAAGGAAATTTTGAAAAATTGGTAGAAATTTAAAAGGAAAAAAGTAAAGGTCGCTTTCTTCAACCTTCTTCTCTGAGCTGAGCAACACGTTTTGAATATTTATATGAGGTAAGTTTATGTTGAAACTTTCATCGAGATTGGTTAACATTGTTATTCAGTTTTTAAAGGTGTTAGTTCAGTTTTATTCTTTACTGTATTATTATATTACTAAACCTCGAATTCTTGTAGTTATATCGCTTATCAGTGACAGAGAATGATAGGACCTCCATTGCGTCCTGTTTCTTCAAGGGCTTTCGTCTTCTTCTCACGGACTCGTCTTCGACTCCCCCGTCTCCTGGGACCCTTGATACTGCCCGTGGCCAGTTACTTCATCGTTCTCTCCGTCTGCAGGTTGGACATTCCAACAGCACGTTGAACCGCAGCGGTCAACTTCGTTTCTTGCATATCTACGCTGCCGCGGCCATCCTGCCGTATTAATTCTCGTTTTTCCGCCGATGCGGACCGGCTGGCTTATCAACAGGTTCGATGAACGTTCCGCTCGTTCGGAGCTCACTCGTTAAATTCCGAACAGATCTGATATCAATAAAATAGTCGGACGGATTAAAAATTGACCTAACTCCAACTGCTCCTGTCCATTTGATTGTTTTTTTCATTTTCGCGGCTGAATTTGTTGTCCGAACAAGTGCTGCCTCCCTCTCTTCGTTGATTAAACAACGTGCGAGACAGATTTTAAAGCGGCGCTTACCATGCAAACGCAGTCTCGGGTCACGATACTTCGCTCGGCGCGTGTCTATAATAGTCATCAATGCGGGCGGGCGCATTATTTTCGAGACGCGATGAAAGCACCTTGCGAACGAGATTGGAACACGGCCTGTATCGTGGAGAACTGGCTACGAGACCTAGATACAGCTTCCGTGTTCGAAATGCCATCGTATCCGGGTATTCGAGATAATATCTGTCTTCAAAATTAATAACTGGGTCTCGAATCACCCGGGGACTGTTCGAGAGTATCTAATCAACAAGTACAGTGTATCTAGTACGGTGCATCGTCGATTGTGGGTCTGATCACCTTAACACGGGAATCCAGAAAGGAAGTATTTAAAGTTTTTAATTTACGTGGTTGATTCTATCAAATCTCCGGCTCGTTGCATAATGAATGTCATCTTCGAGGGACTGAATATGAAATTTTTAGTCAAGGTGAAAGCCATCTGTATCAACGAGTATGTTAATTCGATCAGTAACTTGATTTATTTCAAGGAAAATTATTTAAAAACCACGTCTGCAAGAAAGCCAGCGGACCAGCGAAGAATGTAATAGGCGGGAGCTTTCTAAACGAGACGATTGAAGAAAGGAAACAATTGTTGTTGCGTGTTTTATGATTTCTTTATTGCTGCGGCGAGACCTGATCGAAAAACGACATTCATTATGCAACGATCTATCTGAAACAAACGGTACGCGTCACGCGACGTGTCAGTTTCTCTTTATTAACTATGCAACTATCGAAATTGTTATATATTTCGTTCTCTTATCTTATTTTTAAAACATTTTTACAGAATGCAGACAAAGTTTTATAGTACAATGTCTATTCCTACTCTTTTTTTTATAAATGAAATTGTTACGGTTTTTATTCTCGTGTCTCTCTTTAAAAAACTTTTATCTTTTTAGAGAACGTAGACCAAGGTTTTTTCATATACTATTTCCATTTTTTTTATAAAGGAGGAATGTTTTAATAATCGGTTGAAAAATGGCGCCTGGACATAACCCAGTTCCCCGAGCGAGTATTCACCGATACACGTTGGACAACGGTTACCTACCGGTTTCATTTTAATTTAACTCGTTCCTTTTTTCCATCGTCCAACGTATCCCTCCTTCCTTTCGGGTAAGAGCTGAAATCGTGTTCTTGCCTCACCTTGGCCGATCTCCTTTCTTACGTTTGTGAGCGTCGTGTCGAAAGAGATTAAGGGGCCATTGAAGTTGCCCTTCCGTTCAAAATATCTCTTCTCGCTCGCACCGTTATCACGAAATACGAATCGCAAAGAACTTTGACTTCCTCACGGTGCTCATCGTTCCAATAACATTGAAAAAAGAGCAATTGTACATGATGCAATCCAATGAATACATTTTTAATGGGAAGATCAAGGACCTATCGTAAATTCTCACGTGATATGCTCGTAAATGCACGTAGAATTTTTTATCGAGTCCGAACGTATGAATGAACGTATGCAAATCTGGTTCACATTATTATGCATCTCCAGTCGACCGTCACCCAGAAGTCGATGCCAGCGGAACGTTCGCCTGACATAATTAATTTATGCAAGACTCGTTTTCGAATTTCTTCCGTCTTCTGTCGTGCAATCAAGTTAGGAGAAAAGAGCATGATTAAAAAAGAGAAAACGTTCGGACATTTCTTCTGAATAAGTTGAACGGCTCTGGTTTCTTTGTTTATCGCGGATCGACCGAGGAACTGTATTTGCCATTGGGAAACCAACATTTTTCACGATGGAACCACGGGCAACGGGCGAATTCCTCGGGTGCGCGTGTGCGCGAAGCCGACCTACCTGCCCGCTTGAAATCGTACTCTGCGCTAACACCCTTCCGAGGGAGACCTATAATTTCATGTGCAACGTTGCGCAATCCCTTCCTTCGATTTTAATCCTTTTACTTTCAACGTAGATCCCGCGATAACTTTCTGAAACGCATTGCTGGGAAGGACGGCCGTGCCACTCTAAAGCCAAGGAAAAGTTCTTACCGTTTCTCCCGCATTCAATTATACTGCACAATTGTCGCGATTTATCTGGTCGTTTCAACGTTATGCAGACCATCAGACGTTAACCGCGTTGTTCCCCGAGACGAGTGACTCAGAGACTTCCGCGATTGCTCACACGTTTTCTAAAATTAAATGTTCTATATTCGATACACTTCGAAATGTACGACGCCAACCTAGATAATTGAAATCCACGATTCACACCGTTCGCCTTAAAGTCTAGCTACACAGACGTGATGGCACTGCAACGGTACCGTAATGGGAACGTAAGTCTCCGTAGGTCGCAGGACGTAATTTTCAGTGCCGCAGTCTTTAGAACAGAGTATAGGAAAAAGCGTGTAAAAGCAGGGAGCTCAGGGGTCCACGTTTAACACCGAATCGGTAGGCGGGGACTGCCTGCTGTTTAGTACGGAAAATCTCGCGCTCGGGAAACCTCGGGAGCGGAAAAACTCGAGATCGGGAGGTTTGCCGCTTTGCTCGGCTTCTTTTTCCCTCGCTTTATTTGCCGCTGCCGAGGTCCAGCAGGGGTCTGACTCGAGCACAACAGATCGGGCCCGCTGAATATTACCCACACATTTTTCTTTGACACGCTCTTCCCTATTCCTCCATTTCCCTTAACAACGTTACTGGCTGTCTGTATTTCCGCTCTCAGGTACTCCAATTTTGCTCGCTAGCACTGAGCGAAATCTTGGAGTGGAAAACGCAGTAGGAATAGGCCATTACGGTGCTGTTGCGGTGTCGTCACGTCTGTGTAATTAGACCTTTACGCGATCCCAGCGAAGACCTCGAAAGCCGAGGAGAGAAAAAATCCAATGGACTCGCACGTTATCGTTGCTATCGTCGTGTGAACGCCGCTTAACGTAATCAGGCCTGCGCAATCGCCGGCAGTTCCAGTCGAACTGGTCTCCACGGGGTTTACCCACGTGCTGAAAGCCGCGGTCGTTCCGCAAACCGCAGTACCGCGTTAGCCGCGTTAACGAGACGAGAGTGCCTACGGCTCGTCGGTCGTTAATTACATTTTTCAAGTACTCTCAATTCTCGGATGCCTCATTTAAATCCGTTCGGCGATTAGACGAACCTGTGAAAGCATCGGACGTTTGTTAACTACATTTTCCAAGTGGACTCTCGATTTTCACCGAGTTTACCTTTCCATCTGCCTGCTCGTCGTGCGATTAAACGGCATCGGGAACAAGCATGGATGTAATGTCGGTGAGTCTCCTAACGATCGTGGATTCTAGCTCGACCTTCGTCGCCAGAGAGCTGTCTGGCATTCTTGGTGTCCCATAGAAGCATACCGAAATTTCGATCGATCGCGCCGGCAAGAGAATTAATACACTTTAGGATATTAATATTTTGATTCACTTAGCTTGTACGTAAATCGCTAGGCATGGTCACATATTTGTACATTTTGTATTTAGTCGGTTGAGAGTTTAAATATATCTTCGTGCTGGATCCGGTATATATTTCTGTATTGATGTAACTGGGTCCTTTCTCTTGTATCACAGATGGAAGGTATAAACGAGGGTAAAGAAACTATACAAATTGGCATATTAAATACACACTTTGAATTACAGTGCTGTTTTCTTGAATAATTTCAAACTAGTTTTTTCTAATAAATTATTTATAACACGCATAAATTATCATAGATATTTAAAATGAATGAGTGTGACATTGTTACAAATGTTTCTTCTGTAATCTATTGCAAAGCATTTTTATCTGAGGCTATTCAAGTGAATGCCACTGTGTATGATTTTAAAATGTGTTACAACGTAATGATCGCGAGAATAGATTTGGATCACTTTGAGTCATTGCATACATTTTAAGATCAAACTCTAACCGTTAATCAAGTGAAAATTATAACAGGGCGCGGTGAAGATTCCAATGAATGTATAAATATTGAACGAGTAGGCTCGTTCGCATACAACTTCCTTGTTTGCCAACGAGTTCACCTTATTATCACCGAGAACCAGTTCACGCTTAATATTATTTCGAGTAAAGGAAAAAAGTTATTTGACAATTTATAGATATTGATTATCATAATTATTCTTATTTCTATAACAACCATACAAAAAATATTTGTACAAAGTAGTCGTGCTCATTTTTAACTCCTTGTTAATTTTTGTGACTGATAAATTTCGAGATAATTTTGTCATGTCATGAAGATTTTAGTTTTATTTCTTGTTCTCTCTTCGCCTTCTTCTTTGTGTTCAATTATTTTTTTCTTTCTTTCAAACTAATCCAATATAAGAATTTTGTTATTGTTTGCTGTTTGTGTGTTATAATTTCCACCTTCTTTTTGTTTTTCGCTCCCAAAAATATGGTCACCATATATATATAGGGGAAAACTGTTATTTAAAATTGAAATTCCTCTGACTAAAGAACGAAACACCTGTTTGTACTCACTGTCTCTGCTCTTAATTAAGATATCCGAAAGAGCATACTCGCGGCCGGAAGTTACGCTTCTTGCGAAACGGTAATTAATAAAGGAAACCGAGTAAGACGAGAGCCTGAATACGAATTGAATTTCATCGAGTTTGCGCGTTCGCTGGAAACACGGCATGGTGATTTAGTCATACCGAATGGCTGAATTTTCTTCTTTCGTTAATTCCAGAATAAAAGGTTATCTGATAACAGCAGCTACGGAGGATTGGAAAGATGTCGGCTACTCATATCCAAGTTGTGAAGTGGACATTTCCCGCTTTCGCTCTAATCATTGGTTTATTGTGGTACAAACGTCGCCGAGTGGACAGAGCTGATCCAGGTGGAATTAATAATTCAGATACCAGCGAGAAGAATTGCGTCGAGCCGAAGAAAGCCGCCGTTTCATCGAAGTCAAGCATGAACTTCTACGATTCCGGCATACTCGACGAGTCCTTCTCGCTGAGCTCGCCCGGCGTTCCACAGGCGGAAGAGATTGTTTGTAGCCCCAGAAAAAGAAGCGAAAGTCTAGATATACCGCAGAGGAAGGCCAATTCGCAGTACATGTCCGCATATTCTGGGGCATCACCCGCAGACGATCAAGAATGGTACAGTTACGTAGAAACACGAGAGCCGAAGATGGACATACAACTGGGCAGTAATCCGAAGATAAGCAATTTCGATATGGTCGCTAGAAGCAGAAGCGCGAGTTCCTTGGAGAGAGCCACAGAATTGGGCGGTAAAGTAATGAAAATATTCGAGAATGTCGCCGAAGAAGAGGAGCAGAACAGAGCGGTGTGCGCAATTAACACCGTAGAGCCGGCCGATACGAACGAAGAGAATGATGCGAACAACGAGTGTAATTACCTCCCGGGCAATGAACCACCTGTTGCCGCTCCGACGCAAGACAGCGCTAAAACACCGGTACAAGCGTTATCTGAAAGGGATTCCGCTAATCACAGTCCAGTTTCTGGCGTCCTGGAAGGCAGCGTCACGGACGAAGCCAGAAGCGAAGGGAGCACGGACAGTGGAAAGGGTAAGTTTAACGGCCTAGAGTAATCACGTGAATTTTCTAACACTTGTTAGTTGATTTTTTACGTTCTCTCTTCAATTTTATTGACAATCAGACAAAGAACACTGTTTATACCGATGGTGTCAATAGGCACTTCTTGAAATTTCAATTTTAAATTATTGTCATTAGTTCCTCAAATTTTTTACCCTCAATTAAATTTTTTACTTTTCGAACTTGTCTTTCCAATCTGATTTGTTAAAAATTTAATTGAAAGAAAGCGATTAAAATAATGATAATAATTTTAAGCGAAAATTTCAGAAATGTCCATTAATATTTTCGGTAAAAGTAGTGTTAAGGTACATACCTCCTGATCCTTATTTTATCCCGAACAATTTCACTCCGATATAAAATTGTTCAAAGCCCATAGCATAATAACTATGAGTAGTAGTATTTATTGCAATTCTATCTTTATCGGCTAAAGAATAAGACTTCATTTAACACCTTGGAATTAATCGTTCATTTGTCCATGCCTTCACACACTAACCGCAGCTGTCGGAGTCTACTCACGAATTAGTTCAGCTTTTCTCGAATTAAAATCTTATATCTATGCGGAATTATCGTTGCAGGAGGAAGTATTAAAGGTCACACGAAGGACAACGTGATTCCGGCGACTTACGAGTTTAGCATACCGCAGAATTTAGTGGGCAGATTAATCGGCCGCCATGGTAGTTTCTTGCAAAGCATTCGACTGAAAGCTGAAGTACACATAGCTGTGAAACGTCATCCCGTGTGGAGGGATCAGAAGATATGTGCCATAGAGGGTTCCTCAGAAGGGATAAATATCGCTTTGGACATGATACGACAGAAGTTCCCGGAGAAAAAGTATCCACAAGTGACTTTAGAACAGATTTTTCCATTGAAAACGCCGGAACAGGTCCCGTGGGTTACCGAGATAATGCAATTGTCGTTAGTGGAGGGGATGAACAATGATGTAGCTGTTTGTCATATAGTAAGACCGAACAGATTCTTCGTACAGCTTCCTACACACCCGACGTATCCATCGTTACGGGTTTTGGACGAGAACATGACACAGATGTATAACACAACGGAATCACCTCCAGCTCCAGACGAACTTAGTAGTAAGTTCATTATTGTTATCTTTTATATATATATATATCTTATATATATACGTAAATAAAAAATTTCTGAACTAATTCATTTTACTTGGATTTACAGAGGGTATGATCTTAGTTGGAAAGTGGTATCATAGGTGGGTCAGAGTGATTGTTGAACAACCTGATCCTCAGGGCGAACAGCATTTAGTACGTCTCGTTGATCACGGGGGTTATTGGTTCTTTAGTAACGCTGAGATGAAGAAAATTAGGTCAGATTACCTGTCGTTACCTTTCCAAGCGATCGAAATATTCCTGGCGAATATTCAGCCAAAGGATGGTGAGTATACTGCAGTTTCTTCGTCTGCGTTTTACACTATATACAGTAGATTTCATTAATATTCGGATACAATTCAAAACGGAATAACTTTTTTAATATTGAACCGAACAACTTAATTTTTTTATATATTACTTAGGGAGATAAGTCTCCTAGCATCTAAAAGAAATTAAGTTGATTGGTCCAGTATTAAAAAAATTATTCCGTTTTCAAGTATATTCGAATATTCATGGTTGCCTCTATAAATAGGTAACTAAATATTTAATTTGTATATTAGGTGAGTGGACTCAAGAGGCTTACGATGTAGTTGCTCACATGTGTTACGGAATTGTCGGTCAAGCTCAAATCGAAGGTTACATCAATACAAACACTTATGTTAACCTTTATCTCAATATACAAAAACACGGAGTGAGTGAATGTGTTTGAGGAATTCCATTCTAAAGTAAAGTTGCGTTAAATCTAAATTTTCCGAGTCTGAAGTTCGGAATGAAATTTATAGATCAAATTACTTTACGCGACGATCTGATTACCGAGCTCGAGCGAAATCAGACGTAAAAACGTGAAAGTAGGGATACAAATTTTGCTATAGAGCTAATATTTGCATTTAACGCGACTTCACTCTACAATTGATCAAAATGGCAGTTTGTATAATTTCTGAAATTATTTTTCAGGTGATATCGCTTGCTGATGAATTAATAGCTCGCGGTTTCGCGGAGTCTGTACCGTTAGAGAGCATAGTTCCAGAAGAAGGTATATCAATTTCTTAAGGTATGCGTTAAAAATTTAGTCTTAATTAATTGTAATGTAAAAAAGAAAACCGTGCGGTGATAATACGTGATCGTGTAAGTCTTAGTCACTACATGCGTATGTGTTATAATTTTGAACCAGATTTTTCATACTCGGAGTTTTTCACACTTCATATATCCGTACGTTTTTTCCTTTGTAAAGTTTGAACGTAAACAATACTTTCAAACGTTGCATAGACTTCTTCATGCTGTTTTTGATTCTCTGTTATATTGATTAAGTTTAAATCGATTTACATGACAGAATAGCGTGCATCCTCGATATGTTCAGAATCATTGGAGACATTTGTAAGAGGGAGCTTATATTTAACGAGCATTTACAAAAATACTCCTCGCGTATGATTTGTGACTGGTACAAATGTGAGCTATTATTTTTAGAGTGTGGCATTTTTACGTACATGGTAAATGGAACTTTTTTAACATTACCTCTCTGCACGCGTGGCGGGTGGGTAAAGATTAAATCAGGTGTTAAATAATCAGCGGGTGTAACAGTATCATTCTCGTACTTATGCTATTAAGGCATATGCGATAGATTCGTTAAATGCCAAATGTATAATACATATGTAATATGTACGGAACGCCACATTCTAGCGGCAAGCAAATCGAATAACAAGCGATTAAACGATGATGGACCTCTGTACATTTAATACGATATCCGCACTATTTGTAACGTCGGATCATTTATTTTATGGGGTGATAGTGTTGTAACATACGTTTTTTCTAATCTGTAGTGGAAAAAGGGGTGGACGTTTTTCACGGGTCGCGAAAGCCATAGGTGGTATCACTTTTACTTCTGAAACTATATAGCGTTTCCTTTGTTGTCTCTCTTTGTCGAAGACGAATCCTGCAGATGCTGATCGCAAGACTGCTTCGATGATCGATCGTAAATTTCAACCGCAATTGTAATTGAATCGAAAATGCTGAGACTGTTAACAGGGGAAATGCCACTACGTGTTACTGCGTCCGCGTAATTTCTATTTAGTTATCCGTTTTCTAAGCAGATTTCACAACATACTTCTGTAAATAGTGTAACATTACTGCTCCGTTTATAAAATATTTATAAAGTATATATATATATATATCTCTTATATGATAAAATGAAAAAACAATGGTTAGACGCTAGCTAGCTCTACACAGTGATAAATATGACAAGATAAAGATTAGCAACAAATTTATATATATTTTACACTTCTTATCTTAAACGTTGATAGAGAATAGTGATTCGCATTGTAACTAAACCGGACGAATCTGGAAATTCGCTGCTCCACGTTTGACTTGTACCATCTATTACAGGTCAAATTTGTTTATTCTCAAACGTGATTTTTAGTGTAAATCATAGGAATAGAAAACTTATTTTGTCTAAATTGTATATCAGATCATTTTTTCGATTCCCTATTTTTTTTTTTCTTTTTCCTTTTTCTCACGCTTCATTCGCGATTAGAGGGAAGTAAATACGAGGACATGTAAAAACATGAAATACTTTGAGATTATTTCGAGATTGTTGAAATCTTTTACAATCAATATTTTTTGTACATTTAACGTTAAAAGCTTGTCGTATAATTTATCTTATGTTGAACGATTATTAACTGGAGTTTACTTTAATTGATGGATGAGAAATTATACTTCCCATAATTATTTTTCTGCGTGGTTATTAATGTGGTTATTCATTTCTTTCCGTGAGAATCTGTTGCTTCCGGTTTATTGCGGCAGGTGAACTATCAATTCATTATCGGAACAACTTTTTTCTCTCTCTCTTTCTAACGATTGTTTCTTGTCTTATGATAGCTACGCAACTGCTATCGAGCAGTTCGCGAAAAGACTGACTGTCTTTTCTATAGAGTGTACGATGTGTATTGTTTATAATATATTTAATCATGGTGTGTTGAACAGCTTTACTTTCAATCGTATTTCTTAATTGAAGGGACAACATAAAGTATATCTCGTGATAAAACTGGTAAAGAATTGTGATTTGTAACTTTGCAACTGAAAAACCGACACTTTTCAGAGAACTGTTACACGTTGATATAATGTATTTACCGTTCATTAATAACGCGAACACGATAAAGCTACTTCTCTAGGGTTACGAGTATAAAATAGAATTTATTAAGCCGCTCACTTATTAAACTGCATGTGCTTCGATGTATCACCGTCGTGAAACAAAAAAAAGTATGCGAACTTTTCTAACGGATCGAAACGGATCGAAACGGATCAAAACGGATCAAAACGGATTTTTTATGGCCAGAGCTAGAGAAATTAATTCCATTCGTGTGCATCGCAACGAAATTGTTATTACACGGTCACTTTTACTTCGAACATTCGGTACATCTATCCAAACAGAAGTACAGATATAATAAGATTTTGTTTGCGTGAATATTCTCAAATCTTTAAGTAGTATACAATTTACGTTGCGTGCATGTAAATAGCATATACACAACATCCGATTACTCGTCTCTCTTACGGTTTCATTTGTCATTATCGATTAAATTAAGCTCATTTTGTATATATACTTCAATGTAATCTTCGGCGTTTTCATTAAATTTGCATCATTTTAATTATATTTATCTTTATCCTTCCTACAAAATCTTTTACAATAAAAGTTGAACAGAGAAAAACGTGCTATGATTATTGCAAGCCCAAAAATGAGTGCAAAACCATTGGCGAAGTGCCGCTTTTGTAAGTAAATCAAATCTTATTATTTTTCTAGCAACGAGTATTTCTATCCCATTCTTTGTGTTACTTAATGTTCATTTCATCAAATGTGACATTGAACACAAACTTTTTACCTTTTCTTGACTTGTGTTCGACAATTTCTAAAATGTTTTCGACCATTTCTACAGAAACGCCGGGACTGTACTGTTTCGTACAAATCTAGCGATTTAAAGATTGAGTGTAAGGTAGACATTTAAGAAGATTAAGTCGAACAATTTCATATGTTTGTTCATAATAATATATTTGCATTGTTATTAAACATTCAATGAAGAAATAAATAAAAACGTATTCTTACTTAATTAAAAATAACATACATAGAATTTACGATTGACTACTTTAAATTAATTATTAAACATCTGAAGTATCTGTTTTCCTTCCGACGAGGAAATTTTTCCATAATTGTAAACAAAGTGCCGAAGGTCTTTCACACTCATACCGTCCTTATCACACTCATTATTTGATGACAGCTGGCGAGTGATTTAAATAATTGAACATTTGTTAATCGTTGAAGCGGGAAAACATGTCGCAAGGGATGTACTTACTTACGTACACACGTTCTTATCTCAAGAAAACAACAAGCATACGAAGATACATTTTCCGTGACGAAACTGTGTAGAACAATTCTATTTCTACCGACAGTAACTGCAGGCATACGCGTTACCACGACCGATATCGTCCGGAAGGAGAGCGGAAAGCTCATAAATAGATAGACGAATGTCAATGTTCTCGATTTTCTAAATACATTTATTTTTGTCGCTTATCGCTTTGCCAATTTGAATATCAATAACGTGTCAGCAAAAATCGCCACGTTGGTGTTTGCGTTTTCATTCGAGCTATGGTTTCATTAAAGAGGGACGAGAGCCAGCATTCGCATCTGTTAATGCCGGTACTCCTTAGTGCTTGCGCAATACCAGTTTCCATGCTCTTCTGGCTTATCAACGTGATTTATTCGTTGTTTCACTCGGACGCAGAGAACCGGTTTGAAGGTATGCCAAAATCTATCGTCGGCCGAATCTGTTCTCGTAATACTTTTCTCACTTACTCCGATTGTTATGAACATCATAACCTATTATCTAGATCACCCGGTTGTATCACCGTGGAGATGGCTCGTCGCGGTAGTGTTTCCTCTTTTTATGGCGTTTTGGGGCCTGCGAAGGAAAAGTGTCGACGTCAGCGGTGCTATTCTAGGTAATACGAATTTCATCGTATGTAGAAAACAGATCTATTTAATTTTTGAACAACAGTTTATTAAAATCGTTTGTTTTTTTTTCTATTACAGGATTATTTATCGGTTTTGTTCTGACACTCACTAGTTTTACTCACGTAGCTTGTCTCTTCGCGTTCTTCGTAACTTCTAGCAAGGCAACTAAGTTCCGCTCTCATTTGAAAAGAAAGCTAGAGTCTGGTTTCAAGGAGGGTGGACAGAGAAATTGGGTTCAGGTACTGTGCAATGGTGGCATGGCAGCTCAGTTGGCAATTTTGTATTTGTTGGACGTCGGATGTACAGAACGACCAATCGATTTCGATAAATATTATAGGAGCTCTTGGCTATCAGTAGGAATCCTAGGTATAGCATCATCTCAAGTCTTGTGAGTTGAACTCTGAGACGTTTAGAAACATTAAGTATCATTACAAACATGTTTAGGTGCCTTTGCATGTTGTAACGGAGATACTTGGGCATCAGAAATTGGAACAGTGGTCGGCAACGGAGATCCTTTTCTGATCACTACATTAAAGAGAGTTCCAAAAGGTAAAACTTCAGAATTATCATTGTTAAATAAGAAACACATAGTAATGTCACAAGATTTGTGTTAACAGGCACGAACGGTGGTGTTTCTTGGGTGGGTTTACTTGTTTCTCTACTTGGAGGTATGACAGTGGGTTTATTTCATTACTTGACTATACTAATTGCTGTTGACACAGTCGTGTTACAATTAGCAACGCCACAGTGGCCTGTGATTGTTATCGGAGGAATCGGAGGTTTACTGGGTAGCGTAGTGGACTCGATTTTAGGAGCCACTTTACAATACAGTGGTGAGATATCTATACAAGATGTACAATGACCCTCGTTACTGTTCGGACACAATTCAGAACTGAATTACTTTTTTAATATTATCAATTTAATTTGTTTCTATGTTTAAAGGTAATCGTACATATATTTATTTAACATTAAACCTACCGACAGTTTTTGATATACTATATATGAAAATAATAAATAAATAAAATTAATCTATACATTATCGTAAATGACTAAATTTCTGTCATTGTATATGCAATCATAAACTAGGTGGGTAGAAATTGTTACGTGAACAGAAATTGGATCATTTATTATGCATAGGAAACTAATTGTAAGTCTTCAAACATCTAAAAGAAAAATTATGTTGATGGGTCGAATATTAAAAAAGTTATTCTGTTTTGAAATGTAACCGAATATTAGTGAGGTATCTAGCTATTTTAGAATATAATTTACTATCTATCTTCCTCTATGTCAGGAGTGAGTGACAAAGGAATAATAGTGGAACATCCTGGGAAAGGTGTGAAACATATCTGCGGGAAACAGTTTTTGGACAATCATAGCGTGAATCTTTTGTCAAGCGTTATTACCGCGCTCACATTGCCGGGAATAGCGAAATTAGTATTTTCATAATTAAAAATATCAACGTTTAATTAAACCGTTACTATATAAGTGGATATTATCAAATAATTTTTTCATTTGTATTTATACGTATATACATTTTTATAATTTAGCAATTGTTTTGAAGGTGACATCGGAATTGTAGTTTATTTAACACGGAATCGCGTACAGTAGACTTTAACGTAGGCACTTAGTTATTTATGACTTTGTATTCTACCAGACCTTTTATAAGTAGATGAGATTTTTGTTATATACATATGTATATTACAGACTGTTGATTTCATTGTAATCGACTTGTGACCGTCCACACAATTAAATGTATTTGGATAAAAGAAATAAGATATTTTTAATAAGAATACTGGAACATTTGTTTTTTATTGGCAATCCTATTTTCCAAGTTCGTTTCCTTTCGAAGTACAAGAAAGATAATTCGGGAAGGGATGGGAGAAGATCAATAAACTTTATTATCATCATTTGTATCCATCATAAAAAGAATTACTCTTATAGTTTTTCGCATATTCAATTATATTTGCATCGGCAGCAAGTATACATGGATGAATATTTTCTACAAAATCACCGTCTTGTATAAAAATTCTGCGATGTTATTCGATATGACGACTTATATCTGTTTACAGCCGAATGGAAAACATCATTCAAAAAGAAAATGTGACAAACTTATACTATTCCAATATTTAACAGCTTCGACCTTGTCTTCTTTAAGAAGAGAAGAAAGTGATTATTTACACGTTTTACATCGCTATCGCACAGCGCAAAAAGTGAAGAATCGTTGTATGAATTAATTTAAAGCAAAGATTTCGCCTCGCAACATTGGCGATTCGTTTATCAATTAATAATTATTTATCCGTTTGTTTACTCAAAAGCAATTCGACAAAGAATTGTTTTAATTATTAATTCTGAAATATAAAAACTTGATCTTTGAAATCGGTTTTAGAATATAACAAGCTACACTCCGTCTAATTCTACGATTTAGAATAAGTAATTGTTTTTATTAGGGAAATAGAATTTCTTGTCTTAATACACACGGCATAAGTATAAGAACGTGTCTCTAAACAAAAATAACTTCAATTTATTCGAACAAGCATTCACCGCTTTCTACATTGATCAAACGAGATTTGAGATTCGAAAAATATTACTATTATAATTATGTTTGTTTAGGTAAAATATCACTTCGTATTTTACTTATGGTTTCACCATACAAACTTTCTCTTGTGCGAATTCGGTAACGTCTATTACCACTAAAACGCTTCCCATTATTTCTCCCAAAATTATCTTAGTACTTTGATTTTATCATTACCCATTTTAAAAAAAGGCTCATTATAATATGACATCGACAAGATCAGCACTTTTTATTTAACATTCATTAGCACTCAACAATTTCTCTATTAAAAGATATCAATCACAATCTTTAACAGGGGTTGAAAACAGTTATGATATCAGTTCTAGTTCTTGAAATGATTACCGACAACCGAAAAAGTGCCATAATTGTTATTCGGTATACTGGGTCCTGACTTATGTCGATTTCAGCTGAGATTCATGGGAACAGATATTATATTGGTTCTATAATTATTTCTCGGTTCTATATTTCGGTCCTATTTTCTTATTCTCTAAAATGTAAACAATTTTGATACACTATTTGAACTGGAATTTTTAATTTTCTTGTAGCAGGTATTAAATAGTTACGTATATGGCTTTACATACAGGGTGAGCCGGAAATAGTAGTACAATCGAGCAGGGGATGATCCTACGATGAAAAAGAAGAAAATATTTTGGTATAACATTTTTTCATCCGGAGCTCTGTTTTTGTGAAAATTGACTCGAAAGTTTGTTTAACTTGCAAACGATTTAAAATAATTTGCTTGTCGTGCATTCCACTGCTCTTTGTTTTTTTCTTTTTTTTTGTACAATTGCCAAATATCGAAGATATCTGAGGTACTAATAGTTAATGCCACACCCTATGTACTTTAATAAATAAATTAGATTAAATAAGAATATTTTTACTAAAATTGCTTACAGCTGTCAAATTGTCAATGTCGAGCAGACGAGCGATATCAACGGCACTCGTGCTAATTTAATTACTGTATGTATGCATGTCAAGTGGGTCGGGATAAAATCGTTTTGGACAGCTGTACATAAAATCGAAATGAAGAACTAAAATGCAGATCCGAAATACGAAACCGAAAAATAACGATTATGGAACTTGTATAATATCGATTCTAAAGAATCGAAACCAGAACCAACATAGACCAGAATCGACGTATCTAATAACAGTTATAACATTCTTTCTGTTCTCACTGTTTCGGTCGGATCCGATATATATTACTAAAAAAAAATTATAGCACCACGAAAGTGTCGAAAATTGCCCAAGTTTGGACGATGATTACTCAGCAATAAATTATTATCATAGGACCAAAACTTTTCTTCTAAATTAAGAGATCCACTAGAGATTTCGAGCTTCAATTTATAAGAAGAAATATCGTCTTACAATAATTAACTGAGTAATTATTATTATTTGAATTAATTAATCTTCCGAAATCGGGTAATTGTTTATACAAATTTCGTGATGCCATATTTAGTTTGAGTAACGTATAACAGTTTGAGACAGTTATTTTCGGAACCTCTTCAATCCCTGATCATTAAGTTATATTATCCCGTAGAACACCTTTTGATTTAATCTGTTTTAGCAACAAATCCTACATTCATGTATTCTATGTACAAACAACACTCAACACGCGAACAGCCTTCCCTTTATTAAGAAATCTCTAACTAGCCAATCTACCTTAGTTCCTTCGAACAATTCACCCCAATACTTTAAGCGTAACCCTTTGCTAAGCAATCTTGTGTTTCCCGATCACCAACGTCTTTGATCAATCGTCCCCGTTCACTCATCGCGTTTGACCGTAGCCGACGACGTTTCCCATCATAATCCAGGATTGTCATCAACATTGCGTCTGGTCAAAGTCGCCGGGCTTGACGATCATCTTCGCGTGATTGTTGTGGCTATTGGGGACGAAATTGGCGGCGACCAGGTGCACGGTTTGCCGACGGTCGTCCGCGTTCCGCTTCTCCTCGGTCGGCACCGATGGACGATAGTCACACCGTCTCCTCTCCCGCCATCGGACCTGCGGTCGATCGGATAAACTGAAACAGTCAACGTCCCACAATGGACTTGACAACGGGCACGTCGTCACTGGCACGACACGGACAACTCTCCCTCTCTCCCTCTCTCTCTCGTTCTCTTCTACACAACAACGTCACTTGCTCAATTTGATTAGTCAGTTGCTCCTATTGTTTATTTTTATGTTTAGAATTGCATTCGGTTCGCCACATTCCATTCTATTCGGCTTATGTACAGCAGAGCAAACCGATGACGGTGGTTAGTAGTGTTCCTCAATTTGTAATGTTAGATCGCGGTCCGCATCGCACCATTGACTGATCGTGTTCTCCGGTTTTGTCTTTCGTTCTTTCTCTTGCTACCTTGCTTTCGTTGTTGCGCGCACGTGAATCTTGACGCCCAACGGTGAACGCATTTTGGGTATTTGATAATATGATGCCGATGATCGTTTAGTTAGTGTTAAGCGAATTCTTATCGTTTTTTATATTTTTGTCGTGTTCAACCTCTTAAGGATCATAACTATGTTAACACGGCTTCCATTTTTAAGTCAACACGTTCCCACTTTATAAATTGTCATGTAATTCCAAAAGTAATTTTAAAACATTTAGGCCATATCGTACTTCAGTCTGAAAAATATTCACCGATTTTTGTAAAATAATTCTATCCTTAAGTGGTCAAGTGTTGACCGTGATTTTTGATATATCGAACACGATGATGCGATAACCGATGGTTTTGCTTGATGATAAGGAGAAGGATTAGATTAGTGGAAGTTCAGTATTGTTGATGAGGAATGAGGATTACAACAATTAAACAAAGCAGTTTGTTAAAAAATCAAAGCGTAATTATTTCGTGCGAACATGTGACAATCAACAACTTGGCTAGATTACAAACAACTATATGTGGCTTAAAAAAGCTGTATTTATTAAAAATTCAATTTCCACGTGTTATTCACTTCCATTCTTGCAGTATTCCATTATTATACATTGTTCAATAAACAACGCAAACGGCGGTGAAACCTACGTTACGAACTATTCATGCGATCATTACACAGACTAACAAAAAAAAAGTTTTTTCATTCTTGTCAATATCCACTACGTGATTGTAATAGAGTTTCTTGTGTCAGAAACCAATCCAGAAGCAGAATTGCTCTGTCACGTACCGTTTTTTGAAAAATACCAGCTCTTGTAGGCATGTTTGATTTTCGGGAAAAAAAGTATCGGAAATAAAAGTTTGACTTTTTTACGAAAAATATCTACAGAATTCAATCAGCGGTGGATTTAGACTAGTGGGGGTCCTAAGCGGTAAAAATTTCGTCCCCCCCTCCCAAAAAAGAATTTGGAGTTCCGCCCCTAAGTCCAATACTAAATTCCTGCTGAATAAAGGGATTTTCAAAGGGTTTTTTTTAGTTTTAACAATTCTTTACATCTGTTAAGAAATACGGAAACACGAAGTGGTTTACATGGTCTTACTTCTCATGTAATGCCTAATTGTCCTCAAAATCATGCATTTTCATAAAAACCGTTATTTTTTTAAAACAGTATGTGATAGACCAGGTCTGTTTCCAGATTTATTTTTGGCATGAGGAACTCTATATGAATCACGTAGCGAATATTGCAAACAAAATTTGGTGTCGTGTAATGTTATCTTTCCATGAAATCATGCGATCATTCGTAATACTAGGTTCGTCTCCGGGGCTCGATTCTCCTTAAGCAAGACTTTCAAATCTATATTGGAATTACGTGATCATGCATTCGAACCAACCGGAACACGATCAAAACGAATAGCTATATACAAAGCAATTGTCATGATTTATTAAGCGGTCCTTTATCATTTCTCCGTAAATACATTACAGATTCCACAGCTGTTGTGGAATATTCGCTGGAAATTCCTTTTAGAATTCTAGTTATTTATATACAAATCTTCGGACAGTTCCAAGAAATTTCCAGAACTTTCAAAGTTTTATATTTACAGGAGTTTTTACATATTTACAAACTTTCTCTTTACAAAAATAGTTAGAATATCAATAGAAACTGTTTGATCTCGT